AAATTTGAAGACCTAAAAGAAATGGACGGGTACCTAAAGGCATGGGAATCACCAAAACTAAACCAAGAGATTAACAGCTTAAACAGAACCATAACACATACAAAAAATTGAAACAGTATTACAAAACCTCCCGGCTAAAGAAAACCTAGGACCAGATGGATTTACAGTGGAATTCTATCAGACATTTAAAGAGGTCTACATCCAAGACTACTTAATTTATTCAAAAAGATAGAAATGGAGGGAAAACTTCTAGATTCCTTCTATGAAGCCAGCATCACTCTAATACCAAAGCCAGGTGAAGATACAACCAAAAAAGAAAACTATAGACCCATATCCTTAATGAACATAGATGCAAAAATTCTTAACAAGATACTTGCAAACCACATACAGACACACATCAAAAAGATCATCCACTATGATCAAGTCGGCTTTATCCCAGAGATGCAGGGATGGTTCAGTATACGTAAGTCAATAAACGACATAAATTATATAAATGGGCTCACAGACAAGAACCACATGGTCGTGTCAATAGATGCACAGAGGCCTTTGACAAAATTCAACATGCATTTATGTTCAAAGTCCTAGAGGGAATAGGACTGGAGGGAACATACCTCAACATAATTAAAGCCATAAATAACAAACCCACAGCCAACATCATTCTAAATGGAGAAAAACTGGAAGCATTCCCATTGAAATCAGGAACCAGAGGGTGGGGGTGCCTGCTCATCTGTAAGTAAACCCGCACTCCAAGCTCAGTCAGCAAGTTCAATAAACTCGTTAAAATTTTTCAAAATGGGTTTGGTCACAAGGACCGTTGGAGGCGGGGATTGCATGCCATGTGCAACTCCCAGCAGTGAATTTGACTCACAGCTACCAATTGAAAAACAAGAGGTCAAATTATACTTATTTTCAGATGATATGATATTATAGATGACATCCCACACATTACACCAGAAAACGTCAAGAAGGTATCAACACTTTCAGCAAAGTGGCAGGTTACAAAATCAATTTCAAACATATCAGTATTCTTTCTATATAAAAACAACAAGCAATTAGAGAAAGACCTCATGCAAAAACGGCTCATTCATGATGCCAAAGACATTAAAGACCTCTACAATGAAAAATTTAAACCTTTAAAGAAAGAGATTGAGGAAGACATCAGAAGATAGAAGGACCTTCCAGGCTCATGGATTGGAAGAATTAATATTGTGAAAATGACCATCCTACCAAAAGCCCTTCATAGATTCAATGCAATGCCAATCAAAATCCCCTCGAAATTCTTCACAGAATAGAGAAAAATATCCTAAGATTCACACGGAAGCACAAAAGACCTCAACAGCCAAAATAACCCTGAGCACTGAGAGCAATGCCAGGGGCATTACTATACCAGATTTTAAGCTGTATTACAGAGCTATAGTCATAAAAACAACATAGTACTGGCACAAAAATAGACCCTTAGATCAATGAAACAAGATTGAAGACCCAGATATGAGTACATGAAATCTCACCCACCTGATATTTGACAAAGGGACCAAGAACATTCACTGGAAGAAAGACAGCATGTTCACCAAATGGTGCTGGCAAAACTGGATCTCCACCTGTAGAAGAATGAAACTAAACCCCTTTCACCTTGTGCAAAAGTCAATTCCAAATGGATCAAAGACCTCAATGTAAAGCCTGAAATTCTGAAACTGTTAGAAGAAAGCATTGGCAAAAACCTACAAGATATAGGTGTAGGAAAGGATTTTCTAAACCGTACATCAATTGCTCAGTAAGGTCAAGAATCAACAAATGGGACCTCATTAAACTAAAAAGCTTCTGTACATCAAAGGAGACAACCAGGGAAGTGAAGAGAAAACCCACAGAATGGGAGAAAATCTACACTAGCGACACATCTGACAGAGGTTTAACATCCAGAATATATAACGAACTCAAAAAACAGAGAATCAAAACAGGAAGTAACTCAATTAAAAGATGGGCTAAGCAGCTGAACAGAGTTTTCTCAAAAGAAGACGATGGCTATGAAGCATCTTAAAAGATGTTGAACATCACTAATAATTAGGGAAATGCAAATTAAAACCACTTTAAGATTTCATCTTACCCCAGTCAGATTGGCTAAGATCAAGAGAACAAATGATACCAAATGTTGGAGAGGATGTGGGGAAAGGGGAACACTCATCCACTGCTGTTGGGGCTGCAAACTTGTTCAACCCCTATAGAAAGCAGTGTAGAGAACTCTTAAAAAACTAAAAATGAACCTACCATTTGACCCAGTTATACCACTCCTTGGCATATACCCGAAGAACTCATCCTATTGCAGAGACGCTTGTACATCCATTGTTGCTGCTCTTTCCACAACAGCTAAGAAATGGAAGCAACCTAAATGTTCCTCAATAGATGAGTGGATAATGAAAATGTGGTATATGATGGAGTTTTACTCAGCAGTAAAGAAAGGTGAAATCATGAAATTTGCAAGTAAAGAGTGGAATTAGAAACTGTTATACTAAGTAACACAGACTCAGAAAAAAAAATTGATGTATGTTCTCCCTCATATGTGGATCCTAGAACTAAATCCTGATAAGTGAGTATGTATCCAGACATAACTACAGGAACCAGGATAATGGAAAGGAACCTGGGA